ATAAACTAGAAACGCACATTGTAAAATTTTGACCATCGATTTCCTAGGCATTCGCAGCAAACATAACGCTATAAAGTTTTAAAAAGTTAAAACCTTATTTTATTATTAGGCGATCTCCTCCTATGCCCCTTTTGCTAAAAAAGATTGAGGGTAAAAATAAATTTTTATTCCACTCCGAGTCATTCTTGTCCCACCCGCCGTTGAGTGCACACGTGTGACGCGTGCCAGACGACTGATGGTCCGTGCCAGAGGCGTGGCGATAGCTTATCATGAGAAATGTGGGTTGGTAGGCCGAGGTATGATATTTTACGCCGTGTCGCAATTTTTAACTGTCAAGATAAAGTTGCAACAATTAAGATATTACCATTAGTTATCTAAAGCTCTGTATTTGTTCTAATTTATGTTTTAATGAGATTTTTATAAGTAATACGTTATGATAATTGGAAATTACTTTAGGTGTCCTTATAGTCTAAAAATTAAACTTCTTATCTTTGACTTTACTGAAATCTTTTTGTTACTATAATATAAGCCAGAGATTTTAGACACAAATCTTATTGCTTTTTATTATATTATCCTTAACTCTATTTTTGACCGACTACCCAAAAGAAGGAGGTACTATTCGTCTGTATGTTTTTTTTTAATTACTCATTTCGTAATGTCCGATTAACTCGTTTGTTTTAGTTTAACCTCGGTTGTCAGAATTGGAAGAGAACATTGATAGGTACGATTCATAATTCCGGTCTTTTCCTATCACTGCCGTTGACTGGGATTATATCTGATAGATATGGAAGAAAGATCGCTCTATCGATAGCTTGCTTGATGAACGGCATATTCGGTTTCATCAGATCTTTCTCAACCAGTTACATAATGATGTTAATCTTGGAATTTCTCGAAGCTGGTTTAGGAGCAGGCGCTTATAGCACTGCGTTTGTATTAGGTAAGTTTATATTTGTTTTTAAAATCTTTTTTTGCATTTGTAGATGGAGTTAACCTGAATGCTATTGTCCTATTAAATTTTTTTATCAGATCTTTTGATTTTTTTTGAATTCAAAAATTGATCGATAAGACGATGTTGCATTTGACATTAATTACAGTAATATTGAAAGCATTACAGAAAGCGAACAATTACAATCAATGTAGGTGTCAAACACAGAGGACCAACCAATCTGCGCTTGGTTTACCTGTTTCCTGCGACCCGAATCTTTTCTCTAATTACGTCGCACAACAAAGGGACCCCATTCATTATCCCAGCGACAAAGTAATTGCTAGTGTTTATTCAGGTCCGTCGTCCTTAAAGTTGCCGAAAAATTTTCGCCACTCTCTTTATGAAATTAATTGTTTTCAGTTTGTTATTGAATCTTAATAGGAGTACTTTAATTTCGGAGTTAATTAAAAAGTTCAAAAGAAAATCTACAAAAAGTACCTTCTCAAAAAATTTTTTTCATTAAAATTAATCAAAATATTTATTCTAGGGAAACTATTTTAGCGTTCATTTTTAAGAAAAATCTTGCAATTTTAATACTCCTAATTTATAAATATCGATTGCTTTTTTTCAAGCCATGGAACTTGTTGGACCAAAAGGAAGGGTATTTGGTAATACTCTTATAAACGCAGTCTACGTTCTTGGTCTTATGACGTTATCTGGTCTGTCCTGGTGGCTGCAAGACTGGAGGATGCTAATCCGAATCATATACGCTCCAGCATTTCTCGGATTCACGTATCTATGGATTTTAAACGAAAGTGTAAGATGGTTACTAAGTAAAGGTCGAACCAACGAAGCTGTAGATATACTAAAGAAAGCAATGAAAATGAATAAAATCGATATAACTGATGATGTTTTATCACCACTGTCAGAGTTAGAAGATAATAAGAGTAAAGAAGTGCCTAAAGAGGTAGAAAATAAATCCTCATTCGTCCAAGCTTTGAAATCTAGTGTTATTAGGAAACGAGTGTTTGTGTGTTCGTTCTTATGGATTACTTGTACATTTGTGTATTACGGGTTGTCAATAAATTCAGTGTCGTTAGCCGGTAATAAGTATTTGAACTTTATGCTGGTCGCGTTCGTTGAGATTCCAGCGAACTTTGTGTGTTTGCTTGTGTTGGACAGATTTGGTAGGAAGCGGACTTTGATTACCACTTATGTGTTGAGTGCGTGTCTCTGCATCAGTCTGTCTTTAATTCCTAAAGGTAAGTATTTTTATAATACTATTTGTTAAGAGACTAAAAAACATGGTTTGTGTTGCCCAATCGATGTATCGACCATACTGGTCATAAACAACTCGGACCTTTAGAGCCTTCGAAAACTAAAGACTTTTAATCGCCCAATAGTTTGATCAGGTTTGATTATCAAGACTAAATCGTATCAAATAAAATTGGTAATAAACGCACCTCCATGTTCATACTGATTCGCCCAACTATACTATCGGCTGATTAAAAGTCGCTAGTTTGTGTGGTCTCAGGCTACAGCTGATTACAAAGAATTTGACGTACATACAAAACATAACAC